TGTTTTCAGATGACTGCAGGAAATCTGTGGGTAGTAGACAATATCGGTGTAGCACCAACCAATGCATGGTCCATAGATCCATTTGGTCATTCGTCCACTATGGCCTTTCTTCTAAAACGGATGGGATTTAGGAACATGGTCATTCAGCGGACTCATTACGAGGTAAAGAAGTCTCTTGCTTCCAAGAAGAGTCTAGAGTTCATCTGGCGCCAAAATTGGGACTCCAAAAACACTACAGATATTTTGTGTCATATGATGCCGTTTTACTTTTATGACATACCTCATACGTGTGGACCAGAACCAGCCGTCTGTTGCCAGTTTGACTTTTGGAGAATACCAGGATATAGTAATGTACTACCTTGTCCGTGGGGAAGACTTCCAGAAGCTATCACCGACAAAAATATTGAAGAAAAAGCTGCCATGCTGCTTGACCAGTACCGAAAGAAATCAACACTGTACAAAACTAACATGCTGCTTGTTCCCCTTGGGGATGACTTTCGGTACTCCAGCGCAGCAGAAGCAGAGGCTCAATTTAGTAACTATCAAAAACTTTTTGACTTCATCAATGCAAATTCGAGGATGAAAATGAATGTGAATTTTGGAACCCTTGAAGACTACTTTCGGGCACTACACGGGGCTGGTGTCACTGACTTTCCAGCTCTATCAGGCGATTTTTTTGCGTATGCAGACAAAGAAGATGACTACTGGAGTGGATATTACGTCACTCGTCCATTTTACAAGGCCTTAGACAGACTCCTTGAGGAGACACTGCGGGCAGCCAACATACTCTTCTTTTTCACACAACTAAAATGCAATTCGACTTTTGGTCGCTTGCTTTTGAAAGAGTTCAGACAAAACCTCGTTTTAGCTACAGAAAATCTGGCTCTTTTCCAACACCATGATGGAATTACAGGTACAGCGACTAATCATGTTGTTGCTGATTATGCAAACCGCATGCATAGTTCCCTTGTCGGTCTTCAAAAATCGATGCTTGTGAGTGTTGAATTGCTTCTTTCCAACCAAAAGAAACAGAATGCAAACTGGTTTGAACTGGAACAAAGTCGCTCCCATTTTACTTTGTTACCGGTAAAGAAGGTAATAAACCTAACAGCTAACCATATGCATCGGGTGACTATCTTCAATCCACTTGCCATGATCGTGGATCATGTTATGGTACTTTTAGTTGACAGCCCTCTATTCTGTGTTTTCGATCAAAAAATGAGAAGTATTAAAAGCCAAGTAGCTCCAGAATGGACAAAGGAGTCTGTATTTACTGGAAGGCACAGAGCTCAATGGGAAACACATCTTCCTGCTCTCGGGTTTGAGACGTACTTCCTGATGGAATCGAACAGCTACGGTTTTTGCCAGAAGGCTGTTCTAGCGACACTAACTATTTCAGAGAATGGCATAGCTTGTCCAGAGCCTTATCAGTGTACCACATTTCCAAACTCTAAAGACATTGAGATCTCCACCAGGACACAAACGTTGGGTTTTGCTCATTCTGGTTTCATGAAATGGATCAAAGACTCTCAGACTCAGGAAAAAATCAGAGTAGAGGAAGAGATGCTTTATTACTCTACACAAGGTGGTGCATATGTTTTTTCTCCTTTACGTGAGGCTGATCCCCTTGTTGAGAAAGGTGGTTTGCTAATAATGGCACAGGGACCTATCATGGAAGAATTGCATCTCGTTCCAAAAAGCAAATTTGGAGGAAAGCCCATTATGAGATCAGCAAGAATTTTTAAAATGACAAGTATTGTGGAAATGGAGTACTATGTTGAGCTCACTGGAAGAGTTTTTGACAACAAAGAGGTTATTGTTCGGTTCAAAACTGGGATTGAAAACAAGAGAACATTTTTTACGGATTCAAATGGTTTTCAAGCAGTTGCCCGGCAAACTTATGACAAAATTCCGCTGCAAGGAAACTACTATCCAATGTCTTCGTTAGCTTGCTTGCAAGGACCTGGACA